CTGTTTTATGTGTTTTAAACATCACAAATACCGTCATTTCATTAGTTATATAGTTTAAATAATTTAGATCAAATAGTTTTGAGATCTTTTGATCATTGTTCTATGTATTTTAGACGTAATTTTTTGAAGTATTGTATAAACTTATTCAATTTTGATCACTGTTTTATGTGTTTTAAACATCACAAATACCGTCATTCTATTAGTTATATATAAATATATATATATTACTTTTTGTTAGATTTTTTTTTAGATTTCAATTTTTTTTTTGTTTTGAAACGATAATCCATTATTTTTTAAATAGTTTTTATTTTTTATATTTTTTTACATTTTTATTAGATTTTTTTTAAATTCCAGAAACATAAAAATGGTAAACACTAGAAGATATAAATTTTCTAATTTTTTTAATAAAAAAACGTTTTTGTTAATTTTTTTAAAAAAATTTCGGTTATATATAATTTTAAAATCGGTTTGATTAACTATGAAATTAAATATTAAATTATAATAATTTAGACTGGTTTTTATAAGTTTTTTTTTCTATACATCATCAGATAAGAACCCATAAAAAAATGACACATAATTTTAAAATAAGGCTAAACAATCTATTTACAGCCAAAATTCATTCTAGAGCTGACACGTAAGCGGAAGGTTGCGAAAATCTCTATGAACGTGACACATCAGAAAATCACTACACAAATAAGTATATAGATAATAAAATCTCAAAACTCTGTAACAATCATTAGAAATACCAGTTCCTGCTAACACTCCCGAAAGTATTCCCAACAATTTGATTTTAATAAGTATTTGATTTTCGTTAATACACTGTAAATGAACAATTTCTCAACAAACTAAATTTTCCATTTCTCTACACTTCATTAACAGTGTAACTTCAAACAAATGTTTTGGAATAGACATTGGTTGGTGTTTTTGCTATTTCTTAAAGCTTTTACATTTCTCCAAAATTTAAATCTTATAAAGTCTTAAAACTTTATTTTCATTTTCAAACCTTTTCACCGTTTTAAATTAATTCAGCTGTATGCATGTTTCAAACGACTTTTAAATTAATTTTCAAACCTTTTTCAGTATTTTTAACTCCACGCTTTCTATTGAATCAATGACTTTAAAGACGTGTTTACAATCAAAATTAATTAAAAATAATAAAAAACTAAAAAGGTTAATATTTAAAAATAATAATATTTAAAAGTTGTGAAATATTATCTACATAAATTTCTAAAATTATTTTTGTAGATTTTTTTAATAACTACTATTGGCGTTTCAAACTCAAAAAAAAAGAGTAAAATATTGACCAAAAATGTGAATGAACCAAATCCTCATACTATTGTATTTAGAAATGTATAAATCCACATTGATTAGATCACACCAATGGATAAATTTGTTTTATGAAAGAGAGAAATGTATTAATAATAATTTGAAAACGAAATTGAAAAAATGAAGAAAACTGGAGTGAGATTGAATGATTTAGGAGTGAGTGAGTATTGGATGAGTTTAAAAAGAAAGGAATAATTACTAGAATGACCTTACAAATAGGTCTGTTTGCAAAAGTAACCTAGGTCCCTTATATTTTTGCTAGATTAACCTTACCAGCGTGGAAAAGACGGTGTAACCCCTCACACATGAAAATCTTTTTTTTTTTTTAATAATTTCGTAATTTAATTAATTTTTTAAAAAAATAATAAAATAATTTTTTTTAAATATCTTTGAGATTTCGTTTTCAACCTAATTTCTATTTCATTTCCGAGAAAAAAAAACCTAGAGGTGGAGGAGAAACCGACGATGATGGTGATTTTCCAGATTTTGCGAGTTTCCGGCGTCTGCATCGTTTCTGGTCACCTTCTGAGCTTCTTATCGGCCTGTTCTGCATCTCCGATAAGTTTTTGTCCATTTGTCGTTTCATTTTTCTTCATCATTTCGTTTCATTCACTTTTTCATTTTCGCGTTCTTCACCGTTGTCAGCTTGTCGGCTACAGCAAGCACCGGAGAAGACGAAAGACAAAAAAGCTGATTTCAGACCTCTCGTCTTCTCTCGGTGACGAACACGTTAGTTTTCCGTGTATGATAGATTTATGCATCATATATAATTTATTGTTCCATGTATGGTAGACTTGTTTAATCATGTATGATAGAGTTATTATACTGAATTTTTTTTGTGTTTCCGGCGAATCTGTGATTCTGGTGATTTCGTGTTTGAGTCCTTGAAGTCGTTTCATCTTCTTCAGAGAATCAATGTGAGGACCCGGCGAGCATATTAGGGAACTTCCGGTGTTTTTTGGGCGAAAGACACCAGTCACCTATGGCGGCAGGGGCTGAAAAGGAACTTTCGGCGTCGATTGTGCGAAAGATAGAGTTACAGTTGCAACGGCGGCTGAAAGTGAGCTTTCGAAAGTAAAGCTAACCCTAATTTGTGTGTGTTGCAGGAATCAGACATCCGTGTATAGTAGACTTGTTAGACTGTGTATTGTAAAGTTATTGTTTGGTGTATGTATGATAGAGTTGTTGAATCAGGTATGATAGAGTTATTGTTCTCTATATGTATGATAGAGTTGTTGAATCATATACGATAAAGTTATTGTTCTTTGTATGTTATAGTTGATTTATGTATGATAGACTTATTTAATCATATATGGTATTGTATAGTTATTGAATCATGTATGATTTACTTGCTTAATCATCACTTTATACAATTGAAGTTTTGACATATTTTTCGATATCTTTGGACTCCGCTTTGTCTATAATCTAGACGCATAAATGGACGGACCATTTTGTTTTCAAATTATTGCAAAAAACCACCAAGTTGTCGAGTACTTGCTAAAAACCCAGAAGTGTATCTCGCGGTAGCTTTTGCAAGTATGTCTTCAACAACATATAACTCAATCGAACCTCATAATAGCATTGATCCATGTCAAAATTTTCATAAACCATACCTACGAAATCACTATAGTCGATTTCCCAATCAATAACTAAAACTTTTTCCTCCAAGGTACAAATAATACTCCAAAAGAGGTAAAGAGAAGAAATCATAAGAGCTACTAGATGCAGTGGTTGGAACAGAAAAATTCGATAATAACTACTTGATAAAAACGTCATTTCATATCATTAAGTCTACCGTTCAGTGAAGTAAATATGTCTATCAACTTTCAATATGTCTACCAATTTCAAATAGGTCTACCAATTTTCAAATAAGTCTACCAACATCGAAGCTCCCAAATGAGTTATATGTCTACTATATTATCAAATAAATCTACTTTTTTAAGAATAAGTCTACCACCGCCAAATATATCTATTACATACTCTCATATGTCTATCACATATCTATACTCTCTAACGGAACTTTTAAGTCTACCACACAGAAAACAAGTCTATTATTTCAAAACAAATCTATTATCGACATTTACATCTACCATGCGTACAACAAAACTATCACGAATAAATTTTTTATATTGTAGTCGATTTATATTTATTAGAAATAAGTCTATTTTCGTGTCTAACAAATCTACTGTGAAAGATAATAAGTCTACCGATTTTGGTCAACCACATCTCACAAAGTCAACTCAACAACATTATGTCTACCATCTTGAAAATAAATCTACTTTAAGAACCAACAAGTCTACCAACACATTCAAATATCTATCAACAATTTTAAATCTACCTTTCGATGAAAATAAATCTATCATTATAAGTCTATCAACACCTAAACAAATCTATTTTTTGAATATTAAGTCTACCAAAAATTATTATGTCTACCGATATATTTTTAAATCTATCAAAACTTATATATCTACCATTAAGCTTGGTAGACTTATTTCTGGGTACCCGATTTTAACAGCTGACGTGGAAATAATTTAATAGTGGCATTTTTGTAAATACGTTTTTTCTCATCAAAGCTTCTCGAAGATAAAATCGGGTTTTTTTAAAATGGAAGGTTATTCTACTAATTTCGAGAATGTAAGGTTGTTCTACTAATTACAGCTATTTTTAAGGTCACAATAGCAATTCTCCCAAAAAGAAAACACTTGTGCCAAGGAGATTAGCCATGCCACATTGTGTTCAGACTTGAGAGCCAGAGTTCGTTGAAATGATACGATACGCATATTTCTTTTGGTTTTAATCGCTATTTTTTTTTAATCTCATCGATCAGACTCAAAATGCCAATTGCCAAATGAAATTAGAATTGACAACAAAAACGAGATGTATATTCTTAGGTCCACTAAGCACCCGCGACTCACACGACGAAGTATTGGCGACATTTCCACCACGGCACCCCCCCCCCTCTTCTATATAAACTCGTGAACCGAACAAAATTATCACAAGAAAAGGAGAAAGTAACCGATTATCATCAATAAAAAAGTTCTTCGTTTTAAAAAAAAAAAGAAAGAAAGGAAATGGACGTCATGAACCAAAACATCCCAAACACAAGCAATGAAACAGAAGCCTCAATGACATACTCACAAGCTGTACACACAGTCCTCGTTATAAGCAATGATTGCTTATGGCATTTTCAGTACACACACAGTTCTCTGGTGCCTATGGCTCTCAGTGATTGCTTACGGCATTTTCAGTGAACTCATGGATCATTGGGTGGCTAATAGGACCGGCGGTTCACCTCAGTTACCCCCGGTTTAAGTTTGAATTTTTTTGTTTAACACACTCATTTTGTAACTTTTTTGTTTGTAATTAGTGGAAGTCATTTTAGTCATATGGTATGCTATTTCATCACAAGGTCCATAGATCGATTCCCATATAATGCGATGTATATTTGTTATTTGTGATGTGTAGTGGAAAGAACCGATGGGCAAGAAAGAAAAAAATTTAGTGTTTGTAATGTCAAAGGAATAATAAATGATGTTGTGGAAAGATTCCTAAGAATTATATGGGACGTTATGGTTAATAGACTTTGAAGGCCGGACCAAATATAACCATAACGGCTCATATAGTTCTTAGGGGTAGTCTCGTAAATACCGTAGGTTTCTCGCATGCGAGAGAGACTCGGAGAGAGCGCGAGAGAAAAAACAAATAAGGAGTCCACCCATTTCAGTTTGCTACGCAGTCGGTGGTATCTTTTTTTTGTTTCTTCTAATTTTCTCTCTTTTCCTTACACTCGCCGGATCTCGGCGATCTTATCGGAATTCGTAAATCTAGGATCGGAAACCAGCAATGAATCGCCACCACGATCCAAACCCTTTCGATGAGGAAGAAGAAATCGTCAATCCCTTCTCGGTAACGCTTTTCTCTCTATCTCTCTCCTTTTCTTTCTCGCTTTATCTCCGCTTTCTATTTCTACGCATTATCTCTTATTTCTTTTTTCTTTTACGATTATTCGGGTTTTTTTTTTTGCGTTTACTAAGCTTTAGTAATGTAGATCTCTCACTTATTACGAGTTTTCATTTACTGGAATATAGCAGAAACTGAGGATTGTGTGATTTCGACTTGATCTCCGAGGCTCGTTTCCGTTTGATATGGTTTTAACAGTGTTGAGGTTATAGATCTCTGATTTTTTCTTCCGGATTTACCGATATATAGGGTTTTATTGTACTGAGTTGTATCTCTGGATCTGGGAATTGGTTTCAGAAGTTTTCTAGAAACTAGTATGGTTAGCGAGTGATTTGGTTTAATGTGAGAGTAGTCTTTTATAACTTGGAAATGATTTGAGACTCATTTTTAGGTTTGGAGTATCAAATTCAATGTCACTTTTCGATTCGCCTACTGGTGTTGTAATATTTGATAAATTCTGCAGAAAGGCGGTGGTAGGGTTCCTGCTGCGTCTAGGCCAGTTGGATTTGGCCAGAGCCTCGATGCTACTGTTGATATTCCACTCGATACGATGAATGTAATGGCATTTAGTATCCCTAAAATTTATGGACCTTTCTCTCTTAAAATCTTATCTTACATATCTGTTTAATTTGTGCAGGACTCTTCACAGAAACAGAGAAAGCTTGCAGACTGGGAAGCAGAGCTTAGGAAGAAAGAAATGGTTCGTTCCATTGATATTAATTCATCAAACAAATCTTCACTGTGCTTCTTAAAGTTTTGCTGATTGCCGTTTTCTCTTATATGTATAACTATTTATTTACTGTTCACTCAGGATATTAAGCGAAGAGAGGATGCTATTGCTAAATGTAAGCAAATGACAACTTGGTGACCATTTTGTTCATTAGTTTGACTCGCTCTGACCACAATATATCAGTGAATGTCGAGATGGATGATTCCTAACCATACTCATCAAATTGTGTTGCAGCTGGTGTCCAGATAGATGATAAAAACTGGCCACCGTTTTTCCCAATCATACACCATGACATTGCTAATGAGATACCAGTTCATGCTCAGAAGCTGCAGTATCTGGCTTTCGCTAGTTGGTTAGGTAAGTTCAATTTAGTTTGTCTTGTCTTTGTGCAATGAAATGTATCTAATGCAGTCTACTGATGGGCTTGTACTGTTCGTGTTTAAATTTCAGGTATAGTTTTGTGTCTGGTGTTCAATGTCATTGCAACAATGGTCTGCTGGATTAAAGGCGGAGGTGAGCTCTATTCTATAATGATCTTATGTGGGTAACTATTTTTATGAAGTTCTGATTGGATTTGGTTGAACTAAAGTTGTTTTTCAAAATGTTAATGATAGGTGTTAAAATCTTTTTCCTTGCCACAATATATGCGTTGATCGGATGTCCACTTTCGTATGTACTGTGGTACAGGCCTCTCTACCGAGCAATGAGGTAATACTCGTTTTAATTAGCTCTCTTCCAATGTTTTTAATACTTGTTTAATAAGACAGGTCAAATAATTGAAATACATTGTACCACCTTGTAGGACTGACAGCGCTTTGAAGTTTGGTTGGTTTTTCTTCTCCTACTTGGTGAGTTCATAAAGACTTTTCGTATTGTTTATATGTTACCTATACGTAGGTATACTTTTCCATTTTCTATATGATTGACCTGAGCTCTCCACAGATTCACATTGGCTTCTGCATTGTTGCCGCCATTGCCCCTCCGATTTTCTTCCATGGAAAATCATTGACGTAAGTTTTCCAGTCATAGCCTACTATTCTTCTTGCGCTCGAGCTCTCTGTTTCTTCACGTGTAGTTGGTTAGTCTGGTGAGGGTTTCATTTGGAGAGTTCTAAATTTTTCTGGTAGGCTTAAAAATATTGAGTTGTAACTTAAGAATGAGAATTATAATTTTCATTTCGACCCTTGGTTGCTCTAGCTGAGTTTCAACTTTGTAAAACTTTTGCTGACATAGGAAACTAGAAACTGTCAAATTAATGCCTTATTTTGTAATGCTTTAGAAGTTTGTGTTTCTATGTGTTCTGTTACCTTGAGATTAACTTTGTTCCCGTTCTCTTTGTAATCAACAGGGGTGTGCTTGCAGCAATTGATGTCATCTCAGACAGTGTATTAGCCGGGGTACGAGCCATACATCCATTTTATATTCGTCACACTCATAAAATTTTAAAATCTTGGGATAGCTAAAGCTAAATATGATACTAATGAATGAATGCAGATCTTTTACTTTATCGGCTTTGGTCTCTTCTGCTTGGAGTCACTTTTGAGTCTATGGGTTCTTCAGGTAAGCATCTGCAAAAAAAATGTTAACCGCAAAGGGGATTTGGTAAAATGAACAGATGAATTGATCGTGTTTCTTGTTGTGGTGTTTGCAGAAAATCTACCTCTACTTTAGGGGGAACAAGTAAAAAAAGAAGGGAGAGAGGATGATGGTAATTTTCCCTTTGATAAAAAGGTTTGAAATATGTGTATCTCGTCAGAATGTAATTACCATTTTACCATTAAATGTGTTGTGTCGAGGTAAATTTCTTTTAGTTACTATAGTTGCAAGAGAGAGATACAGTGGTTGTTCGGCCATTTCTGTAGGTTTTTTCTCTTCTGCTCTTCTTCCGTTTGTAATAACACTTAGTACCCAATATCGTCTCTTAAAATCTGGGTTTTTTTTTTCCTTACGACGAAGTTGACTATTAAGACAACCATAGCCATAAAATTTCGATCTGGCTAAAACTCATGTGTATTAAGATGTGTTCTCGTTGTCAAAATTGGTGAGGTTCTCTGTTAAAACAACACGGTCAATATTCAGAAAAAAAAGTTTTTTTAGTCTAATGATTTTGTGTCCCGGAAGAGACATAAATGAAGAAAAGGTAAGTTGTTCAAAGACCATAAAGATACGAAGCTAAAGGGGATATACGAGACGTGTCAATGGGGCCCATATAATACACTCTCCTTCAACTTCCGACCTTAAGCACATAATCCCCATGTATCCAATCAAACTCTACCACGTGTCAATTCAAATATCCGAAACCCAAAGAAATAAGCAAATAACCACCAAGTGTCTGTCCATGCCCTGTTTTAGTTTTATCACTTCATCATCGGCAACTTCACTCTCTCCGAAACTTCAATATCCAATCATTATTAAACAATAGGGATTACGCAAATCTAAAAGGAAGTAAATCTACATGTTTCTTGGGTTTTTTGGGGCTAGAAATCTTTTACTTATCAACAATTATCTTTAACAAAGAGACTAAAACTTATCTTTAACAACATTACCAGATGAATTTACTTCAAGAAACCAAAACATGAACCACTCATTAAAAAACCACACTAAATCATATCAAAATCAAAACAAAACAAAACTCTTTTTTTCTTCTTTGCAAATTGCCATTTGTTTTCCTACAAACCCATTTTCATCCTCTCATTTCTCTCTTTCCCCCATAAAAAAAAAACCCCATTTATTTTTTTATTTGAAGAAAAACCACATCTTTACATCACCACACAAAAACCCATAAATCAAAAATCGTTACCCACATTTCTTTCATTCTATCCTAATATTCATCACTCAACCTTAGCTCACAAAACCAAAAAAGAAAAAAACAGAGAGCTTAGGCGGAGAAGAAGAGGAAGCAGGAACCAAACAACAACAATGGCTGTCTCAACAATCTACTCAACACAAGCTCTCAACTCAACTCATTTCTTAACCTCTTCTCCATCTTCTTCCTCCTCGAAACAAGTCTTCTTCTACCGTCGTCAATCCCAAACCAACCGTAGATTCAACACAATCATCACTTGCGCCGCACAACAAACCATCGTGATCGGACTCGCCGCCGACTCCGGATGCGGCAAAAGCACCTTCATGCGGAGGCTCACAAGCGTCTTCGGCGGCGCCGCCGAGCCACCGAAAGGCGGGAACCCCGATTCCAACACACTCATCAGTGACACGACCACTGTGATCTGTCTCGACGACTACCATTCCTTGGACAGGACTGGTCGCAAAGAGAAAGGAGTCACTGCTTTGGACCCACGCGCCAATGACTTTGATCTTATGTATGAGCAAGTCAAAGCTCTCAAGAGTGGTGTCGCCGTCGAGAAACCGATTTATAATCACGTCACTGGACTTCTTGATGCGCCTGAGCTTATTCAGCCTCCCAAGATTCTCGTCATCGAAGGTCTTCACCCAATGTAAGAAAAAGCCACACACATACTCTGTTTTTGTCTCTCCGACAACTTTTATCAGCTTCGAAGTCTCTTATCCTTGTCGGAATTTGGATATATTTAGATTTTATATAAGAATCAGTATCAGAATCAAATTAATGCATCTTTGAACCTTTTGCATGAAAGTCTTATAGTTTGATAATGATTAAATTATATTCGAATAATTTAGTCTATAGTTTTTGGTCATGTAATAATATTTTATCAATATCTCTACTTTGTGAAGGTTTGATGAGAGAGTAAGAGACTTGTTGGACTTCAGTATCTACTTAGACATTAGCAATGAGGTCAAATTCGCTTGGAAAATACAGGTGCGTTTCTTTGAATTATATCCTTTTCTTTTAGTATATATATACACATTTCGTTTTCTTGCTAACGATTTAATTGTATCAACCGAATCTGTAACGTTTTGATGATCACAGAGGGACATGGCTGAAAGAGGTCACAGTTTAGAGAGCATCAAAGCAAGTATCGAAGCCCGAAAGCCGGACTTCGATGCATTCATTGGTATAAAAATAAACTCAAATTTAATTTTTCATTTCTCGGAAAAAAAAAAACATATCGATTTTGATCTTGTTTTTGACAATGTATCAATGGCTATATATACAGACCCGCAAAAGCAGTATGCAGATGCAGTCATAGAAGTGCTTCCTACACAGCTGATTCCTGACGACAATGAAGGCAAAGTGTTGAGAGTGAGATTGATAATGAAGGAAGGTGTTAAATACTTTAGCCCTGTTTACTTGTTCGATGAAGGTTCGACCATCTCGTGGATCCCTTGCGGTCGCAAACTCACCTGCTCGTACCCTGGCATTAAGTTCAACTACGAACCTGATTCCTACTTCGACCATGAGGTATGTCCATTTACAAATCAAGACTGCTTACATTGCATATGTTATGGTTTCAGTTTCTTAGCTCTGTTTTTTGTTTCTCTCTGTTTCTTTCTTGCTTTTTCTTAGGTTTCGGTTTTGGAGATGGATGGGCAATTCGATAGACTGGACGAGCTGATTTACGTGGAGAGTCATCTGAGCAACCTCTCGACCAAATTTTACGGTGAAGTGACTCAACAAATGCTCAAGCATGCTGATTTCCCTGGTAGCAACAACGGGACTGGTCTTTTCCAGACCATTGTTGGATTGAAGATCAGAGATCTCTATGAGCAGCTCATTGCAAGCAAAGCCACTACTCGTGCAGAAGCTGCTAAAGCCTAAAAGACAACAATGCAAAATAGATACCCGTCGATATATCCATTCGCAGTTTCTTTCTTTCTTTCTTTGGCTTTATGTGTTTGTTTACCCGCGGATTTTCATAAAGGACGGTCTTGCTTGTTTGTAATTTGTGTGGAGATTAAAAAAAAAAAAGCCTGTAATGTAGAGAAGGTAATAGCAGAGCAATAACAATTCAGTTCATACAATGCTTATGTCGATCCATCAAAGTTTCTTCCTTTAATGCATCCAAGGAGAATTCAGAAGCCAAAGAAGAGAAAAGCTTCTTCCTATTGATCGTAATCATGTTTTGAATCTTAAATAGACACATTGGTTCTTTTTATACAAAATGCACAGTTGAAAACTTCCTTAAAGATCCATATAAGAAAGCATAGAAATTATACAAAACAAAACACTAATCCCATTCTTTTAGAACTCCACCAATCACTACTTTGGGTACCAAAACATGCCTTTAATGCCTTCTGGATCAGCTTCAAACCCCAAATTCTGATAGAAATCCACAACTGCAAACTCCCCACCAAAAAAGAGACAAATTCAACAACTGTGAAAGAACAAATCCAAACCTTTAATTACAAAATTGTAGCTTAGGTTGGTTTGATATTTATCACCTTGGCTATCTGCAAAAAGAGAGATATTTCCAATATCCTTTTGAAGAAGAGCCCTTACAAGTTTTTCTACAAGAGCTTTACCAAGCCCTTGACCCTGAAGAACAAAACAAAAACACAATTAAACTTAAAACACAAAGCAATTCACAGCTTTGGAGACTTCAAACAAAAAAAACAAAACCTTTTGGTTACCTGATATTCAGGATCAACAAGAACATCCCAGATTGTAGCATTAAAGGCATGATCCGACGTCGCACGTGCCATTCCAATAAGCTTCTTCTGCTGCTTCTGCTGGTCATTATCGCCTTCTGTGTCAAATAACTTCTCCAAAATCCGCTAAGATGTTCATCAAAACATCCTCTTTGTGGTATATTTCCTTTGTTAATGGAATCAAGAAAAGAGCTAACGTAATTGAAGCACCTGATAAATCTGAATCTGAAGGTGACGACTTCAAGACAGAATGCAATGTAGCCACCATATAACTATTCTTCAAAGCTGCAGCTAGTTTCGATAACGGTCTTCGAGGCCACCCCACCTTTGTTGTTTTTTTTATATATCCATTAATGAGACTTTTGGTAGTAGTAACATCAAGAAGAAAGAGAGCAAAGAGTTGTTTTTTTTTTTAAAAAAAAAACTACCTTGTCACAAAGAGTTTGAAGATCATAAACATCAATCTCACCACCAGAAGAGAAAATGATCTCTTCGATTAACCCATCTTGCAGAGTTTTCTCAACCAGAGTAAATTCCACAGGCAATAACGGTTCAGTATCTTCCTCATTATCAATTGTAGAAGGTGGTTCCACAATTTGGGTCGTATTGTTATTCTTTACAAACCTGAAAGAATCAATCAATGAATCAGTGGTGTCTTTGTTGTATAACCCCTAATTTATCTGAGAAAGAAAAAGTATGAGTCTTTCGAAGTACCCAGATCGGATTGACTCCCAGAAATTCGCTCTGAGACGCAAAGTCTTCAACTTTCTGCTTCCTGAAGTAGCCACAGGGAGAAGCTTAGACTTGGACTTTAGATTCGGATTCGAGTGAAATTGAAATCAACAAAATAGGAAGCAACAGGTACCATGGGGAATTGCATAATTGGAGAGGAACAGAGACTGATTCGATGAAAAGGAATTAGAATTGAAGGAAGCTTGAGGAAGGCTACAACAAGAGTAAAAACGATGTTAGTAATATCATTAAAAGACGGGTATTTGATTGAATGTTGAGAAAGAGGAACACTTACAGAGACGAAGTGGAAGAAGAAGAAGAAGTTGGGATTCGTAGCATGTTTTGGTTTTGTGGTTGAGACTTGAGGGTAGAAATCAGACTTGGAAGATGCTTTAGCTTAACGCCTTCCATTGCAGCTTTGGCCCTCGTCATCCTCCTTTCTTATTTACGCTTTTGCCCCTTTCAATAATGTTTTGTTGGATTTGGGATTTGAGCAATTTAGTTTGTAAAGACTGTAATTTCTCATAATTTCTATGAAATTGTTATAATTTTATTTGATCGCATGAATGAAAATAGAAGCATTTGCCTAGCATTTCAAAAATCTATTATCCTTTTTTTTTATATTAGTGTAATCAAAATAATCTTGAATGTATCTATTCTTATGAAAGTCTTTTTGACATACTTTGGTTATAATAACCAAACTGGGATATATATATTAATATATATATATATATAATATTGTGAAGTTGGAAGAGTAAACATAAAATATATAAATTTTAATATTTCAAACCTATTTCAAACAAGACAAAAAAAATCTCAATTATCAATCCTCTTGTGATGAAATATAGATAAACAAAAAACTAAGATAGAAGAGAAAAAAATTGTATTAAACACAAAAAAGACACAAAGAAGGGTCTATATTTAAAAAAAAAAAATCTCTAAAAAAGTCCATATTTTAAAAAAAAATTCATTAAGGGTCCATATTCGAAAAATATTATTTTAAAAGAGCTTTTAAATATAGAGATTTGATGTTAGATTGTTATAAAGGACCTAATATTTTTTTTTCCCTAAAGCTTTTACAACTATTAGGCCGGAGCTGAAAATCGGCAGGTAATGCCGACTTGGAAGGATTCGAAATCATTAAAAAACAAGAAATATGCTGTTGTATGGTTATGTCTCGGCATAGTATTGTGTGCTGATGACCTCGCCATGAGATGCTATTGTAGTATCAGATTTTACTAATCTGTTTTGTTTGTCATATAACTAAGATGGATATGTATTATCCAACATGCAAAATGACCCTACTATGAAGTTCTTGGAGTAAAAAATGCACAAATATGAACAATGCTTTTAACTCTCCAGAATTGCAAGACTCCATAAGACTTTGAAATAATGACTTTAGAAAAACAAGATCTTTGGATCAAATTGTTCTTCTTAGTGCATGTAATTGTTACATAATTGATATTTCAAATAAAACCCGTCTTGAACATAGTTTTATGAGGCAATTGTATGGGACTCCTAACTTAAAGAGAAACACACTTAACAGGGATAATATATAGATATTAGCAAAATAATATATATTTTGTCCTTTTATCATATTTTCTCATGTTTCACATATGTTATCGTTATTTTGTAAAAAAAATTTCTTTTTTATTTTATTTTAATTTATTAAACAGTAATAATGTATTGAAAGAATTTTAATTAAAATTTAGTAATAAGTATGAATAAAATCAACGACCACATTCTCTGCAATATCAAACCGGGAGAGGAGTCATTTCTTCGTATTCAGTTTTATACCACGACGATAGTACCATAGCAATCATTGATTCTTACTTGATCGAGAACAATAATTTGAAAGCTGATTTTGCTGCCATTTCGCATTGATTAAGAGCATCTCCAATGCTGATACTTTCATTGGAGTTCATAGACTTTTTTTAATAATTATTTTTTGTTTTTGAACAGTGATGAACCCCAACCAAATTTTCACCCTCCAACCCTAAACCTCTGTTTGGGGTTCATCAGAATAAAACATTATCATTGATCAAAAATCTTGGTTTAACTTCAATCTGATTCAATGTTGTTAAGGTTATGACAAATGCATATACATAGCCGCAGGGAGTGGCTCTGAGACAGCAAGAGTGTAGCAACCAGGAGCAAACTTCCAAGCTTCGTACTCCTCTACTTCATTGATCTCGTCATCGGTTTCCACGTCTTCAATATTTGCTTCTTCCAATAGCTTGTTCTTCTCTATCTCTTCGTCTTTCCTAACTTTCTCAACCACTAATTGCTTTGTCTCTGCTTTTCTCATCTCCATTTTCCTCTTTGCTAACTCCTCAAGAGCTTCTTTTTTAGCCTCAAGCCTCTCACGCTCTGCAACCGTATCTCTCTCAGATTTTCGTACAAAAACAGGTTTGATCATCTTAAGCATAAGCAGACATAAGCATAAGCATAAGCATATGTTCCATGTCACAGAGCCATAGAACTCTAGCGATGATCAAACTGAGCTATGATGCAAGTTCCAAAATACTTCTCTGAAGCTCAGCCTTTATATGGTTATTCTTCTCAATTGCACAAGTCGTTCAACACACTAACAATCATATCAACTTTAAAAACACAAATGTACCACGAATCAAGAAAAGAAAATTGAATCAAGCTAACAACATGAGATCTATCAAACACTGCAGGTAAATGGTAGTTCTAGTATCATATCCAATAAGTGACCATTGGTTCCTGGTCAAATAAATCGTTGAAATCACTGCGGTGATATCTTTCTAATCATCATAAGTCAAGAATCAAGAATAAAACAAAGGAGTCGTCACAGAGGAATCAATGGAAGAAGAAGAAGAAGCTTACATCTGAACCATCCATGGCTGGTACAATGACAAGAGGCATAAACACAAGTGAACCAGCAAGTGACAAGTAACGTTGCAAACCGTAATAGATAAGTGGAACTGCATTTCACAAAAAAAAAAAATCAAATTCAGAGCTCTCACCGAACTTGGTACGAGTGCTCGTGCTGGTTTCGCTGGAGTAATCAGAGACAAACCCAGTTTTCTATCAAACCGAAAAACTGATTTTATCCCCAATTTACGAAACCTTAATTGCAAACTCAATAAATAACCACTGGTTTAAATCATAAAAAAAACGTTCGATAGTGTGCTAATTCCATCCGATGAACTCGACAAAACTATAATCCTCAACTAAAACAAAAGATCAACTTACCTTGCTTAATCGGTCGGCGAAAACAGTCTCTTTCACCGGCGTCGTCGATTTCGACCAAATGTTTTCGACGGAAAGACTAAACCTGAAGAAATTTTTTTCTTCGCCTAAACCTGATCAGGTCTCGACGATTTTGGGTTTACGCAGTGGAAATCGTCGGTGTCGAAGAAAAAACGAAGTATTGAGAAATGAGAGAAGTCGATATGGTTGAAGAAGTTTGCTGAAAAATTTTCCCGACAACGAATAAGAGGGAACCACGTGTCTATGAACCCCTCAAAAAACAGTCTCAAAAGTCCGTCCTGAAGGGGTGGTTCATCAAATTTATGGGCTTCACCTATTTTTTTTAATCATTAATGGGTTATGAAACCCACTTATGAATCCCATTGAACCCTGCATTGGACCTGCTCTAATATGGGCATCATTTAGTTGACAACCAGAATCAATGGAGAGATAAGATGCATTTGCAAATTGTAATGTTTATGCGTATTAATGTTTAGTTAAATAAAATAAAAAGGCATAAATGTTGTGTCTAGAGTTCAGTAGTAGGACAATTGAGAAAAATGTGTATCTGATCTTATGAAGTGAAACGGGACAAGGATGGAGACAGCTCTGCTCCAGTAATCAAATCTTTGTTGGTAATTGTTTCATATCTTAAACTATTTCCTTTGGAACATTTCATATCTTTAAACCTCTTAGTGTTTTATCAGTATTTTATTACTATGACTGATAATTGAGAATTTGAAATCTTTGTGTTTTTTCTTTTGTCTCAATTGAAATATTAAATTTACATATTTTGTTTCCATTACAAATTCACAACATTTACAAAATAAAAATAAAAAATATAAGCATTTTACCATCATCTTTTTCATTGATACAAGCTTATTTTCACATCCAAACCAAACAGCTCCCATACTTAAGTAACTCGCTGGCTGCTGAGACCACCGATCGTGTATCGCCACGTCATCACTCCTCAGCCGACGACCGCCAGCAAACTCTGCCGGACGGCAGGGACTGAACACAGTAACGATCCAAAGATTCCGGTGAGAGCATAAGCAATTGCACAGAAGGGAAGAGCCTCTGGCTCCTTAGCCGACAAAGCTGCTGTTCCAAGTCCATGAGCACTGTCCATAGAAATAAGAAAGTTCATATCTTTTAATGCTAATGGCATCAATGGCTAATCAAACACTGTTAACAGATTTTGCCTCATTTTGATTCAAATTGTGAAAGATAATCTGTAAACGAGTCACCTTGACGCAGTTGCGATTCCCCGAGCAATTGGATCACGTAAACGCAGTTTGTCAAGAACAACTTGCACGAAGTTAGCTCCAATCAGACCAGTCACAACGACTACAGCTGCTGTAAGAGACGAATTGGTCCCTGAAAATGTCCAAGAAAGTCGTTAGGGATGTTCTTTAATGTGTTCGGTGGAGGATAAGAAGAAGAAGAAGAAGAAGAAGAAGAAGAAGAAGAAGAAGAAGAAGAAGAAAAACATATACCTTCAAAGAGTGATACAATACTAAGGGCTAATGCAACTGTGATGCAGCGAGGTAGGATTGATACCGTTAAAGATGGTTCTAATCCAACTAAACGTCCAACAAGAGCAGTTGAGTAGAGCGAGAAAACCGTTGAAACGATCACAGATGTGAAGATCTCAGCTGCGTGTCTCTTAACGAGCTGAAGAAGAAAGAGAGAAACCAAACAGATTGTTACTAGTTTTCTCAAAACAGAACAAGTTTGTTGTTTGGTTTTTTACCTTTCTTTGTTTGAACATGGAGAAAGCGAAAGAGAGAATGACAGAGCCAAGAAAACCCATTAGTATGTCACCAGCGCCAGGATCCGATGCTACTTTGGTAAGGTAGTTTCCTGTCACCAGTGACCATCAAAGAGTAGTGAACAAAAAAGCTTTTACTTGGTTCACTAAAGAAACTATCTTATAGTTTGTTTTGTAAAGTTGACTTTACCTAAAACAGGATCAAGTCCAGATCCTGAAGCATACCCAAAAGCTAGAGCAGCGAGTACTGCAGATAGCGCGCAACAGATTATCGGGTGGAAGACTTTCTTAATAGAAGATGGCAACCTTGGAAAAAAAGAAAGATAAGACAACGAGAACAACCTCAGAGAGAAAGAGAGAGACACAATTGAGGAGAAAAGGTGAGGATTTGAAGTATATACCCAGAACCGACAATGTAACCAAGAACAGTAGAAGAAAGAAGGAAAGGGAGACACGTTCTTGCGCTTGTACCCAACGAAGTAGGGTAAAACAGAGCACCAACAAACGATACAACAAAGATTCCACTCCAACTCCATAGCTCAAGTGTTGAAAATGGAGAAGGTTTTGCCATAGGCTCAGCTTCCGTCATTTCGGTTTTCACCATTTTTCTCACAGCAATAGCTGTGAAACCTGCTACACAAAGAGACGCCAACCATCCACCGGCTGTACAAAACATTCGAATCAGTATCAATTATCAAAGAGAAAACGAATCAAAAAAGAGAATAGAGATACATCACCGTATAAAAACCATCAAAAGAACAAGAGCTTATATACCTACAATGTAGCAGATTTTGACGCCAGAAGCCGCGGGAATATCTCTGACGGAAAGAGGGAGAACAACAAGAGAAGGAACGTAGAACAAAGGAAGCCATCTCTGGATAAACAGAAACGCAGGCTCGAAGAAATTCATCAAACTTGTTGCAGCAGCAGGAACAAAGGAATCCAAAATCATAAGAACAGAGAAAATACAGAACATCCCAAACAAGGCGCTCGGGAACTTGATTGACGCTGCTACAAAAGCCTGTTTCAAGAAACTGTCTGCAGCAAGTATGATCCCAAGTGAGACCAACAAGTGCATTATCGCAAACACCTGGTGTGCAAAAACAGAGTTAACATACAAAAAAAGGGTAAGCAAAAAAACATGGAATCTTCATTGTTAAAGCTTACGCTGCGAGAGATCGTTGATGTGTTCCCTGTTCCAGCACCATCCATGGATTGAACTGAGAGTTTCCTCCCAAAACTCATCTCTCGAGGACCCATTTGTAGAAAGTTCGTACTTTGACCATTGGGTTCACGAGATTTCGATAGATTCAGCTTCTGAATTCCATTGGATTTGTAAATCTTCCCATGTTTCGAGTCGGATCGGATCTTGAAACACAAATGGCGGTTTCTTGATGGGGAAAGAGCTAAAGGAGAGAAGAGAGGAGTGGCTAAAGGAGTAGCCATGGAAGCGGTGGTGGCGACGTGGCTGTAATTCTGCGAGACGACACATCATAGTCTTATTCATCTTTCTCGTATATGATGGAAATTGGATTACGAGATTTTGTATGGACCAGAGAGAAAGTTTTATCACATAAAAGATGAGACTTTTGTCTTTCTCTCTTTGTACTAAAATTTTTGAACCAGAGAGAAAGTTCTATCAAATAAAAGATTAGACTTTATGTCTTTTCTCTCTTTGTACTGAAAATTTTGTTTCCCGGATTAGTTAGTTTTTTCGGTTAAGAAAGATCTCTACTTTAATTAATTCTAAAATCATTGAATCAATACTCACTGTAAACCAAACGTTACAATTACAAGAAAAAATGAAAATTTGGATATATCCATAGAAGTGGAGAACACTAAACACCAATCTCTTAGCCTTAAAAGACCAAAATCAGAGTCAACAACAAATAACCTAAATCTAGTCCAAAGAGACTAAGACATTTAATTAACTTCATTAGAGACCTTGAGTCAACATTGTCTACAGATTTAGTTGTAACGGTACTCATGCTCCTCATACCGATGAGCTTCGTAGTGGTACGATGACTGCTCGTAAGCTGAGGCGTAGTGCGAAGAAGGGGAAGAGGAATTGTACACTTGATTGTGATAGGAAGGAGTACCGAGCTCGGTCACAGGACTAGACGACCGTGTTTCGTGTTTGTCTACTCTTACCTCCGGTATCTCCTTTTCTCGGTGTCTCTCTTTCTCTTCTTCTTCGTCTAATTCTTGATCGAACGAGAGGAAGATCGGGTGCAAGTAAGCATCTGCAAGATCAGCTTTCATGTTCAACTCCGGTTCTGTCTCCTTCTCCAGCTTGTCTTTCGCCATTGCTTCCTGCAGTTAATGATGATAAACACAGGTTCTTGTAAGAAAGCTTAAAACTTTTTTCAGAAAGACAATGATATAATGCAGGTTTTTATAAGAAAGCTTGAAACTTTTTATTCGCAGGTTTTTTTTTGAAAGAAAGCTAGAGACTTTTTTTTTATCTGATTATGTTGTGCCAATACCTCGAGAGGGTATTGTCGAAAGGCGGGTTCGAAGCGGTGTTTGCAGTATTTGTGGAAAGCAAGTGTGAGAATTGGTAAGATGATAAGCAATGGCGTTGAGTCAGCTGCCTTTTTAGAAGTCAAAAGTCCCATAAGCAGAAGCTGAGATATCAACAAGCTGGCGATAATGCGGCCATGAACGTGCGGCCAAAACGCTCCACAACTCTCGTATTGTTGGTTGTAAACATTGATTATCTGCGTTGTTAAACCAAGAAAAGCATCATCATGATTCACGACGACAAAAACTCATAATGATGATATAAACTCTTAAAAAAACCGAACCTGATGGCGATAGACCAAGTAAGCAAAGGCGAAGAATATACAAATGAAGGGAAGAAGAATGGGAGTAACAACGGCATAGACAATTCCCAAGAGGAAGTAGAGCTGGAGAGATGGAATAGTCTCCTTGAAATCGACAAAACCAGGGTCCATTGCTCTCTCTCTATCTCGTTCGGTCTTGACAAGAAACGTGTTCTTCAAGTGGAAAATCACTAGGGGCTTTAACCGGAGAATCTCACCGGCAATACCAGCCCACCCGTCAACCATTATGTATGTGATAAAGAAGGTAGCTTTCATCGGTATGGAGACCCCAATGGTTCGAGGAATCCTGTATTAAAAACACAATAAACAAGAGCGGTATGAGTTTGATATAAAGGTAAGATTTTTTTGGAGAAGTAAAAGAGGTTAGGGTTGTATATACTGAGATGGTGATTGGTGAAGGAAAGAGTCCAGCTGCTCAAACGCAGTTCCGGCAATGATACTTCCCAAGAACACATTTACTAACATAAAATAATAGTATTTTGCTGCTGCTCTACGCTCAAGAGTAGATAAAGCGATGTAACCCTCAATCTTGGACATAATCAGCAAAACCGTCGGGAGAATCCACAAGAAAATCTTCAGGGCAAGACCAGGAAGAAAACCTTGTAAAAAGGACTTAATGAAATCCCTGCAATAAAAACCAAGAAGATGGAGTCAAGGGTCTTTACCAAGAAGCAAAAAACTGAGATACTAGATTGGCTGGACTTACAATCTAGTGATAGGTCTGAGGAAAGGTGCAACTCTGTCGAGACCTTCTAAGTTGGCAAGAGATTGCACGAAAGCGATTGGAATCATGTAGAAGAAGACCAAGGCAAAGACTGAGACACCGATTACGAGTTTCCTGATGGTCAAAGAGATAAAAGGTATAGCAAGGTTTTGCCAATAGATGTCACGAGGCTCTGGAGCGCTACTCGTTAACCATAATGTCGGATTCTTGCTCTGCTGCGTCTGTGCACAAACAGAAGCGCCCCATCGCGAGTCAAACGACACAAACGCAACAGGAAGCATCAGTTTTGAGTCCTTGAGAACTTTTTGGCGCTCCAAAGACATCTGTATCAATAGTGTTGAAATGAGGTTAAAGGTTTGTGAAGCTTTGCTTTTGCGTCAAGCAGTAATTAAAAGCAACGGAACTGCTTACAGTGTGGTCAAAGTCCCTGATTTGTTGTTGGTAGTATTCAATGGAATCAACTTTATTACCCCATAGACCAAGAAACCCTGTCTGGAAAAAACACAAGCCGCTCATCACAATCAACGTCATATATCATCTCAAAAAGCTAAAGAAAAGGTGTGGAGAGACCAACTCTGCAAGTAGGCTTCTTATGCGGATTCCGTTGATGCTTTAACACATAATAGTCAAACCAATTTTGCAGCCTCTCTCTTTGCTTCACCAGCTTTGCATACTTGTTTGCGTTATAAACTGCCTAAAACAAAGACGTTATGATCCATCGGTTAAACAGTCTTATCAATTCAACTGAGAATAATGAAAGTAAGCGATTAAGGAGAAACAAATTACCTGATGACAGAGGTAATGCTCAGGGTGGTTCGTCTTAAAGAACTGATCCACGGTATCAGGAACTGAATGTCCGGGAATGTCAGGGACGTTTCTGACAACAACCTGCAAATAATAAACAAGTGGTATTTAAAAACACCGATGTAATACTTATCAATGTTTGAAATTTTGAAGCTTTCACTCACAGTGAACTGCTCTGGACGCCTACGCTGCGAAGCTAAATACTGCAAACGCATTATTGCGACATTATTGTATTCTCTGTAGAGCATGAAACATGCCCATAGCGTGAAAAGGTACTCTACTCCAATGTGGAAGAAGAACCTAAACACACACACACAAATGTTAATCTCAGCCGGTGAAATCATCGATCTTCAATAACAAAGCTTCATTTTTTCAGAACTAAGCTCACTTTGATGATTTAGGCTGAACATTTGATATAGAGAGCTTATCGATGTCGCTGACCACGAGCTCTTTCTTCAAGAAGAAAAGTGTTCCGCTTGATACATTCACTGGAACAAGAACAACGAGCGCTAATATCATGGCTGGTACAAATATCTTCAAGCTGCCACAAAAGCCAACAAGAAAAAAGAAAGCAGATTTAGCATAAAACATTTGTGGGTTTTTTTCTATAGATTTATCCAGATTCTCTCATAAATAATCTCGGTAACTTTCCCGGGAAAAACGAATTTCTAAAAAGTGACTTTCTCAGGAAACAAACACGAAACAGTGACAACAAACGAAACTTCTATTATTGCTTTTGCTTTGTCCTTGTGGAATACAGAGCAGACAACTCTGAAACTTAGCTGTAGGATTATTAATTTTTGTTTAGAATAATGTACAAATATTTTCTTACTAGTAAAGATTCTTCAAACCGTGAATTTCGGGAATTTGTCACTCGGAAAAAATTCGTTCTTGGAGATTACAGTCGGGTACAGAAGCGGGAATCCCAGTGAAAGAACAACAACAAAAAAATACCTAATTTTTCTCGGAAATTTCACATTTTTTTCCCCCGATAATTCAACAGAATCTCAAAGACTCATACATACCATAAATAAAGAAGACAAAATTACCCTATTAAATAATTTTTGTGGAAATAAACAAATAAAGGGCACCCATAATTATCAGATAAATTTGGTTAAGCAATCAACTTTTTTCCTTTTAACGGAAAAGTTTCGATTTTTTTTCCTTTCATTTTCTCGAGAAACAGACGTCTCAACGAAATTCCGCACATTTTTCAGTTAAAAAAAACCCCAATTGCGAGAAGAAGAAGAAGATAAGAAGAGAATTTTACCCGAGAGTGTAAATCCTGAGGAAAATAGCAGAATCGAGACCAGCGTGACGAATAATCTCGGCTTCACTCATTTTCATGGCTTGAGGCATCCAATTGAGGAAAGTGAAGTAAGTCTTGTAATTGAGGTTGACGAATTTTCCGACAAGGTTTCCGTCGGAGCGCCGGGGACTGTTTCTGTCTCCAGAGAGATACCATTTAGGGAAGTAGACTCTGTCGTTGATTGGTTGGATTCTGAGGACAGCGAATGCGATTAGAAACATGAAGGCACCGAAGAGGTTGATCAGAGCTGAGACTCCTATGTCCTGCAGAGTCGCCATTGAAAAAAGACCGGAGAGAGAGAGAGAGGGAGGAGAGAAGAGAAGAAGAGAGACGAGAGAGAGAGAGAGGCGTTTGATGGAGGAGACTGGCGTGAAGGTGAAAAGAGAGATGAGAATATCGTCCAAGTCTAGGAGTTTCTATTTTCTAGTTATTTTATTCTGTTTTTTAAGGTAACTGTAGAACTGTTAAAAAAATTATCATATCTTCTTTTTTTCTTTGGCAACTTGTCATATATCATACATATATTTGACCCAAAAAATATATATATCATACATATACTGTATTAGGGGAACGTGTATTAGTTAGTGTTTTTTTTTAAAATATTCCAAAACATAAGACGAATTTTAATATAAATTGTAAAAACTTTTGGCTCAATGGTTATTCAAAGTTCGTTAACACTTTTACATCAGAAAATTTGGTTTTTAAATCCTGAAAAATATAATTTATTATTAAATGTAGATTAATACAGACAAGCTAATCTTAAACGTGCAATAGAAATATCTGTTTGACTATATATAAGTAGGAGAATAATCCATTATAGAATCATTAATGCAATAGTTTTTTATAATTTGTAATAAAATAATGATTCTAATGTTAAGTATAAATTATACATAATATTTATCATAGTTGAATATTATTAAAATTAAAGTTTCAGAAAAAGAATGGACAGTCCCATAATAATATACTAACTAAATTTCTATTTTATAGTAATACACTAATAATTTGCTTACACAGAACAATACACCAACTATTTTTTTTATTTTAATTCACAAATTATTAATCGTTTATCTATTTTACGACAAAATACGAATGTAGAAAGTCTTCCTATACAAAACTTTTCTCCTTCCGACACAAAGCTCTTATCCAAGTTGTTCAATATGATGGGTTTTTTTTTGGATCACAAGTAGTGTCTATTTGTATAACTTTTTTTTAACAACTTGTGTTCTGTTATATAAATGGAGAGACTAATTAAGATAGTGAATTACAGTGGGATTTAAAAAATAATTGGTGTATTATTTTTGGATATACAAAAAGTCTGGGTATCAAAATGGTAGGAGAAATTTAATTGATGTATTATTAAAATGGAATTTTCGGGAAATGAATGTTACTATCAAAGTAATTTCCTAAATATTTTAAGACCCTTCACAGTTTACATAACTGGACTAGTATTCTATATTTTCAGCTTATTTTTTTGTGGGGCACGTCCATAGCCAGGAGATGAGAGAAACCCTCAAAATTAGGTCGCCAGTGATCATACATGTTGTTTTGTTAATGTGGTCTCGAATTTTTTAACTCTTTTTGAATATCTTATATTTCTGAAAAAGATTGGATATTGAATAATGCATTTTTATGCCTTTCTTTTGACGATGTTCCTAAAAACGAATTTTGCGAGGAATAAGAAATGCTCATATACCAACTACCAAAGTTCATAGCACGCGTGAATACGAGTCATGGTTTAATTCTCTTTAACATTAACTTTTCTGACTTTTTTGTATACTCTAAAATTAGGTTGCCTTTATGAACCTTTCGAATAACGGCAAAGTTTTTCGGTTTATTACTCTATTTTTTTCTTTTAACAAATTGGTTTGTCGATAAAAAAAAAAATAAAGTTTATGAAATAAGACTCAGGGCTGGCCCTGAGCTAAAACTCGTAAAGCAATGGCTTTGACGCTAAAATCTATTAATATTTCAGAGGCATCACTTTGAGATAAATTTATTTGGTGATAGTATGTAGAATTGCATTAAAAGTGCATCATTTTGTAATTGTGCTTTAAGCATTATATAATTCCAGACCGTTTCTGAATTAATACTGATCCGTAGTCAACTTTTGTGCCTTCCACAATTAGGGCGAGCTAGTATGTTATTTGTAATCGTAAGCATATTAGTTAGCTCCATCCGCTTATATTTATCAAACCCTCTTGTAACGTACAGATTAGTTATTACATGATTCAATGAGACTTCTTAGACCCATTTTCACTTGTACTTTTTCGGCGGGATTATACATTTTGTCGAGCAAAAGAACATTCGTCAAAATGGAATACATGTCTAATATTGGTGTCCTTTTAGCTAAAGTGACAATATAGACGAAGAATTCAAAGGTTGGCAAAATAGAGAGGGAGACGAACAAGTTGAAACAAAAAAAAAAGGAGGAAGACGAACAATTAAAAGTTTGCACGCGCAGATCTTATACGACTATGGAGAAAGTATTATGAAGAAAGTGGTTATATGATCTTTATACTCCATCCGTTTTAAATTCAAAGTAGCGTCAACATTTTTTTTATCCAAATAATATTGTTTAAGATTTTAATGTAAAATGGCATAAAGACAAATAAAAATATTGTGTTTACGTGATTTTTGACATATAAAATGGCATAAAGACATATTTATGAGCATTTTTCAAAGGCCATCGCTTGAATTAAATAAATCAGCACCACATGTTGTTGTATGTGTATCTATCTATGTTTTTGTCTTTTAGGTGGTCACGGAACGTAAGTATGGAGTGGTTGCATAAAGCGGGTTATACAAGGAAAAGGACATTCTCGTTTTCCTTATTTCTAAACATCACATGTCGTCCTTCCCATGTCTATTCATGATTAAACGCAAAGTTATTATTTAAAATTCTATTTACATTTATAATAATACATTTACACAATTAGCACTTTATGTATTAATACGTACATGATCAATTTTATACGATCTAGATTATTAATTTAGAACTCTGATTGGCGAAACCCAAAATGATAGAATGGTAAAATGGTATACACTTCCATACGTTTTACCTGTCATACAAGTTTGAAAAAAATTGTAGGTTATATTCAATTATTATTACTATGTCATTCGGCCGTCTTATAAATAAAAAAGTGATGTTACTCATTTCTTAAAGTATAAATTACTAGTTCTATCATTCTATGTTGTATTATTGTAGTATTATTTTTATTTATAAAATACTGAAGTTTGCTTAAGGTTTTGGGATTAGTAACATGTCTTGATGCGGTCATCCACGTTTATCCTTACGTTGCCAATAAACACTATTCTATACATATCCACTTCATTGCTTGCTTAGTAATGCTTTGCTATGTGACTACAAAAAACATTAAACAAATACAATACCAAATTAGTTTACTTTGAAATTTCTACACACAGTTGACTTTACATAGCCACGACTTGATCATTTACCGATTAGTTTGGCGAAATGGCGATTAGAAGAAAGATGTGACGTATTAGTGGATAATTATATCCTAAATCAAAGGATAATAAAATTACCTCTTTCAGTTTGACTTCGATCGAACTCGAATTCGAATAAGAAGATGTTGTATATGCAGTCGCAAATTTATAATTTAACTTCAGTACCACGACAGTAAAAACACATGGCATGAATATGAAACTTCAAACTTATTGTTTTAAACTTCAAACTTATGATATGCATATTTATTGTAGATATGGTTTAACCAAACTAATTAGAGGAACATTCTTAAGTATTCATCCATGCGCTTGTACTTGACGTCCGGATAGAGAGTAGAAGCTTCTTCGTCTTCTCCGACATCATGATCAGTGAGAGATCCTTCGTAGAAAATGTGATAAAAATTTCCTATCGCTGCTTGGTGTGAAGGCTCCATTTCTGCATATATATGCAAGAAAATCACATAAAACTGATAGGCGTTGTTTTTCAAATGGGCATAAAGCCTAGCCTATCAAGCACCTATATCTTGAAAACTGATTTTTTATACTACGTACGTAAAAATTTTGATTGGACTTACGTTCAATGTTGGCAAGGAAATTTTTTGCAGTTATACTGGTGTTCTCCAATTCATTTCCGGTTAACTTTTCCCAGATTTGAACCAATTTAAGATGCGTGAGAATGTTATCGGGAGGTCTGATATACACAGTTTTGTTCAATGTTCGCGGATCGTTTAACGTCTTTGCTGTGTATTTTGCAATATCGTCTTCGTCCGCAAACACCACTACAAAATAAAGTCGTTAGAATTCAAAACTTCGTTAAAATCTCTTAAAATATATAATACCAATGAGATAAGAAACATTAGAAAGAGCCCATGAGAGTTTCTATAGTTTTTTTTTTTACCTTTTACATTTTCATCTCCATAAATATTAACTTTTCTTTTGGGAGGGAGTAAAGTTTTCATCTGGGATAAATTTCCGGCAAAATAAGCGGCAAAGCAAGCACCAACGACGTAAGTGTGAGGTATTCCGGCAGCTTCAATAGCTTGACGCACTTCCATTTTTTGGTCGAACGTTTCTCTTCCCGGTGGTAATGCATGTCTCATACGTGGTGGATCCATACCAAATTCAGATGGTAAAAATCGCTGAAACAATGAACTTTACAAATATTATCCTTTTAAATAATAGATAAGTCCATCCAAAGTGCTAAAATAATTTGTTTTTAAGACTAAAACTCCTTTAATTTTGTTTTAAATATTAGGCTAAGTTTCTATATATAGGCACCTTATACGGGTCCGTTACCTTGATATTTTATTTGTTCCTATAATGAAAATGTGAAAAGTAACAACTTTTCAGCAGTCTTTTTGATTTCTTCCCGTCGTGTGGTTCTTTTACTTTCTAATTTTGATAGAAGGAAGGACCACATAAGTTTCTAAACCCACCAATCTTTCTTACTTTTATACCTTGACGTTACCAGCTTCTTTAATGGCTTCGACGAGCTTGATCTGGACAAGGATGTTATGGCTACGGAAGTGAACTTCGGAAATGGCGGATACAACAACGTCAACGAGTTTCACGGCGGAGACGAGGCTCTGGTGGTCGGAGAAAGAAGCTTCGACGACACGTACGCCTAGTTTCTTGTAAGAGAGAAGGAGTTGGACTTTCTCGATGTCAAGACCAATCTCCGGCCGCTGCAAAACGTAAGTCTTGTGACCTTCATCCAAACACGCTCTTACGATCCTCTTTCCTAAGTAACCCGTCGCGCCAACCACCAAAACGCTCGTTTTCTCGCCGCTTTTGTTCTCTCCCATTTTTTGTTCTCTCTTGATCTATATTTTGGTAGAAGTGTCTCGTTTGCTGGTGTATATATATGAGTCGAAACATGTACATTTGTATGTATGTGTGTATGTACACCTAATGGAGTATTGTATGCATTGTAAGTA